CCCCAAAACCCCAAAACCCCAAAACCCCAAAACCCCATAGGTAATTTAAAAGCCTATGGTGTGGGTGAATGTTTCTAGAAAGTTAAATTAAAATATATAAGTTAGCTTCGCTCCCACTTAATTATAAAGAAATGAAAAAATAAGAGCAGTAAACCACATCATATTCTAAAAATAATAAAGATTCATTTCCTAAGTAGAAATCTGGAGGAAAGAGAGGCAAAGAGGATCAAGGAAATAGTTCAAATGAGTCTTCGTCCAATATGACTAGCTCACACAACAATAGGCATTTCAAATAAAGACCCATTCTTTACCCAGCCGAGTCAGATAATTATGACATACTTTACTCAGAAGAGGGAGATGGTGAAATATTAGTTGAAAAATCTCCCGATCAAAAAGAGTTACAGCTCATTACATGCATAGATATTTCAACTCTATACAAAGAGAAAAGAACGAAAGCTATAGATATTGCTAAGGAGTTCTAGAAACTCTAGCATCCGAATCTCCTCTCCATTCTTGAGGAATTCAAACTTTTGGATAATAGCGGAACTCTATTATTTAAAACTGAGGCTCCAGACCACATAGCCGGCTGGAAATCTTACTGCAAAAAGAAATTTACTACCGAGGAGATGCTCTGTATCTTCAAGCAACTATGTAGAGGTCTGTCATATATGCATGAGAAAGGACTTGTGCACCGTGATGTGCATCCCACTAGAATTCACTCGTCAAAAGGTCTCATGAAATTTAACATGATTGGGATGCCCTATAACTATAAAAAGCTTCTCAAAAAAGATAACTTTTGCGGACACGTAAACTACTCAGCACCTGAACTTATTCTCGAAAAAGTAAATTTCACTCCGAAAGTTGATGTCTGGTCCCTTGGCTGCTGCCTTTATTATCTCTGCACAAAGAAGGATCCTTTTGAGGGCAGAAGTCCCCAAGAAATTAAATAAAATGTGATGTCCGGGAAACTTGAGAGATATCCCACTAAAATAGAACCTATTCTAAAGACGCTCATTAACAAATGCTTGGAAAAAGATGAAAACAATAGATTGGATGCTAACTAAATGATGGAATTTTAGGATTAGGTTGAGACAAGTCACTTTGGTGAGATTATCTCAACTAAATTAATTTAATAGAGCCACGAGTAATATATCATATCTTGTGATGACAAGTCTAGAAATTTCGATAAAAATCAATAAGCTGAAATGTTTTAGGCAAGTTAAAATTTCTAGAAATATCAAAACCCTTAATTCTTCTATGGAAGAAATTACTAGTTTAACTATGATTAAGGTTACTAAGGATATGAAGAACAGAGTCCTGCTCCTCATAAGATAAATTATGACTACTATGATGAAAAAGGATCATATGCTGGATCTTAAAACAGATCTGGTACTGGAGGACATTAATAATATTTAGATTAGTAATACTCAAGCCATGCAACATCAAATTACCAATCAAACTCTTAACCTTCGAGAAAGACATAGCTCTCATAGAACTATGCTTAATACAAGTAATATAACAAGAAATCAGGAGAAGAATCAAACTATGGTGCTTATACTAGGTAGACAATCAGATAAAATTTCGCTTAAATGCACCAGCAGAATGAGTAGAATTTCTAGACAAAGATTGATAGTTTTAGAGGAAGAGGAATTTCATCTAATCAATCCTAACAACAATCAAATAATTAGAAAAATTTCAATAATCAAATGAAGGTGTAGAACGATTAAATAGAGCAACAGTATCATAACTATAACAAGTAAAACCAAAGATAATTTGAACAAAGTATAGATAAAAGAACCGAAAGCATTATATAAAATAATAATCAAAACACAGTTAAAGAATCACCATCAGATCTCAAGGTTTAAGAATTGCATCTAGATAATGATTAAAAGCAGCTGAATTAATCACCAATCTAATCAACACCTGAATCATAGTAAACCCAAAACCATTATAATCTTACTCAAACTAACTTGTCTAAATTCAATGAACAGTTCAAAGAATAAGACACGTAAAAGTAAGATAATAAAACTTAGTCTTAAAATTAAAAGCAATAAAATCCTTCTAATAATTAAGTTATTGAAAGAGAAGAAATTAATCAAAACTTGAATGCACAAGTCATAAATACAAATGATGACTAAGCTGCTATTCCAGATTCTATATTCAGTAATGATTTCTTCAAGTTTGAAAGAAATTCTAATTCTGAAATAGTTACTGATTGCAACGAGTACAATTCTGATCCAAACAAAGAAAGTAATGTGACTCAAGAAAATCCAAGTTCTAATGAATGTAATTATTATGTACTAATAAACTTATTTAGCACGAAATGACCCTAATAAGGATGAAATAGAAAACATTGTTGTGTAGATGGTCGATGTCAGCCAGAGAGTGAAGAATTAGCTTCACTATTTTGATGGCACAAAGTACGTAGGAGAGGTAATGAGACATGGGTCTGGAATGTACTATGACTAAGATGGATCGATTTATGATGGAGAATGGTATGAAGATTAGAAATCAGGCAGAGGCAAAATGCTCTTCCCTGACGGATCATTTTATGATGGTTAGTGGAGCGGAGATAAGATGCACGGGCAAGGTATTTACATCTCAAGTACTAGAGATAGATTCGAGGGTAGTTTTTCTTATGGTCTTAAAGTTGGTTATGGAACAATGCAATATTACAATGGAAACTCTTTCTCTGGCTAGTGGAGAAATGATCAAATCCAAGGTAAAGGGTAATTTGTTTTCAAGAATGGAAACCATTATGATGGTAATTTCATGAATGGCCTTTTTGAGGGATACGGTACTATGCTATTCGTAGGAATAGGCACCTATAAGGGAATGTTTATAGCAGGCAACTTAAATGGTCAAGGAAGATTTGAATATCTAGATAGTTCAATCTATGAAGGAAACTGGAAAGAGAACAAGAAATTTGGTACTGGGTAAATGGTTGAGAGTGATGGTGTATCTGTTTACAATGGGGAATGGTTGAATGATTAAAAGCATGGTAAGGGTATTTTCTTGTAGAAAGGAAACTGCTTAATTGAAGGAGTCTGGACACAGGGAGTGTTGACCGAGATGATCTAGTTTAAATATCTTTAGTGAATAAACCCTTCGATGAATATATTGAGTTGATTTAGATCGATTCAAAGTTGGGACATTCACGTTTAGAGAAGATAATTATTGGGATCGTTTTTTATTTAGTTCTTAAGTTTGAGATTCTTAAATTTAAACCGAGTAAAACAAGCCAATCTTTCATTATAATAGCCAATGGGGTTTTGGGGTTTTGGGGTTTTGGGG